CTGCTGCTGCTGCTGCTGCTGCTGCTGCTGCTGCTGCTGCTGCTGCTGCTGATCTTGCTGCTGCGGATGTAGCGGGGGGCGCTGCTTCTGCTGCTGCTGTTGCTGCTGCTGCTGCTGTTCTCCCTGATGTTGTTGTGGATGGTGTTGCAGTAGTTGCTGGTCGTGCTGTTGCTGCTGCTGCTGTTGCTTCTGCTGCTGCTGCTGCTGCTGCTGCTGCTGCTTCTGCTGCTGCTGCTTCTGTATTTGTTGCTGTTGCCGCTATGTGCGCACCTACACTTAGGCTGCAGCTGCTGCTTCTGCTGCTGCTGCTCTCAGAGCTACCACTACCGCCTGTGTTGCTGTTGCTGCTACTGTTACTCCTGCTGCTGCTGCTGCTGCTGCTGCTGCTGCCGACAAGGCGGATGCAGCAGCAGCTGCTGCTGCAGGTACAGCGTCCCAGCGCAAGCAGCTCAGCTTCCTGGAGTCATTAATGTAAGATGGAGAAAATATGCTGGGGGCTGTTGCCGTTATATCGCTGCTGCTGCTGCTGCTGCTGCTGCTGCTGTTGCTGCTGCTGCTGCTGTTGCTGCAGCGACTTCAGCATCTACGCCGCTGCAGCTGCAGCAGCAACCTGAATTGAAAATAAAACAAAACTTCATTTTATTATATCATTGCTTACAACCTGCTGCTGCTTCTTGTAGCAGCATCGGCGAGGTTGTGCTGTGGGGCCCCGAGCAGCAGCAGCAGCTGCAGCAGCAGCAGCAGCAGCAGCAGCAGCATCGGTAGGTTGAGGCTACCTGTCGATTCTTGAAATAAACACATTAAAAATTAAGTTCAGCTAAGGGAAGGCAGCAAGAAACGTTTAGTAGCTGCAGCAGCAACAACAAGAACAGCAGCAACACGAACAACAAAGACCTTCTAGGCTGCTGCAGCAGCAACAGCACAGCTGCTGCTGCTGCTGCTTCCGTTGCTGCCCCTGCAGCTCTTGCAGCAGCCTTCGCCGTCCTAATTTCCTTGCGAGGCATGCAGCCGCAACAGACTGCAGCAACAGCAGCAGCAGCAACAACAGCAACAACAGCAGCAGCAACAGCAACAGCAGCAGCAGGACAGCGTTTATAAGAAGATGGTAGTCGAGGCTTCTTCTGCATCTTCCCTCCTTATGACCGGAGAAGACAGCAGCAGCAGCAGCAGCAGCACTGCAATGGAAGTCGATGACCCCTCTGGGAGCAGCAGCAGCAGCAGCAGCAGTAGCAGCAGCAGCGACGAGCCTGCAGCAGCAGCAGCAGCAGCAGAAGATGCAGATGAAGACGAAGAAGATGACCCGATAGTGGAGGTGTTGGATGTTTACCTGAGGCGTCTAGAGGATGTCCTAGACAGCAGCAGCATGAGCAACAGCAGCAGCAGCAGCAGCAGCAGCAGCAGCAAAGTGTTCGTGCTGCAGTTCCCCTTGAGGCCTCATGACCGACCTTACGGTGACCAGGGACAGCTGCAGCAAATAGCATACAGACATCAGCAGCAGCAGCTGCAGCTGATGTATAATTTGCATGCGGAGGGCCCAAACTTTGACCGAAATCACCCTGTTGCTGCTGCTGCTGCTGCTGCTGCTGCTGCTGCATCAGCAGCAGGACCTGCTGCAGCAACAGCAGCATCAGCAGCAACAGGCGAGACTCTTCACTTCTTAAAAAGCAAAATAACTAAAGGCAGCCAGTGTAGTTATGCTGTAGGGATAATAAAAAATAAAAGTTTTTATATTATGCCGGCTGAAGGCGTGCTGCAGTTTACACCAGACTTTGCTGCTTTTGAACAGCAGCAGCAGCAGCAACAGCAGCAGCAGCAGCAACTGCAGCAGCAACAGCAGCAAATCGCTAACACACGCAGGCTCCAACAGCAGCAACAAATGCAAACCGATGCACATCCTAATGCTAATCCTGCTGCTCCTGCTGCTGCTGCTGCTGCGGCAACCACCGGAGCAGCAGGTGATGCAGCAACTCAGCAGCAGCAGCAGCAGCAGCAGCAGCTTGTGCAGCAAATAGGAGAAACCAGGACGCGAATATCTCACAGCAAGCAAAGAGAAATTGAAGAGAGCGAACCGTGGGTAAAAGTAGAAGTAAGCAAACCCTAAACCCTAAACCCTAAACCCTAAACCCTAAACCCTCAAGGCAGCTTCAAACCCTAAACCCTGAAATGCATCCAGCCAGCTCAACTCAAGCAACTTTCTAAGCTTAGCGGGTAGGGTCTAGGGATTAGGGATTAGGGTTTAGGGTTTGGGGATTAGGGTATAGGGCCTAGAGATTAGGGTTTAGGGTTTAGGGTTTAGGGTTTGCCTCAGACCTTCTACGATGCGGATACACCGGAAGCGTTTGAGCTGCTGAATTCGCTCGTCGATAACCAACAGAGTAAACTGCTGCTGCTGCTGCTGCAGCTTCTGCTGCTGCTGTTGCTGGTGCCGCTACTTCTGTTGCTTGTGCTAGATCGTCTGCTGCTGCTGCTGCTAGTGCTGCTGCTGCTGCTGCTAGTGCTGCTGGTCCCGCCAATTCTGCTAATGTCACTGCTGCTGCTGCTGCTGACGTTGCCGCTATTGCAGCTGCTTCGGGTGCTGCTGTTGCTGCTGCTGCCCTTGCTGCGGCCTCTGCTGCTTCTTCTGCTGCTGCTTCTTCTGCTTCTGCTGCTGCTGCTGCTGCTGCAACTGCTGCTGCTGCTGCGTTGCGTTTGCTGCTGCAGCTCTTTCAGAAGATGATGCCTTGGACGGGTGCCTCTTCGGCGGTCAGCAGCAGCAGGAGCAGCAGCAGGAGCAGCAGCAGCAGCAACAGCAGCAGCAGCAGCTGCTGAAGCAGGATGTGGTGTTTTCTTCTGATGTGATGTCCTACATTGCTGCAATCTGCGACATGCAGCAGCAGCAAGAACAAGGGGGTGCAGGAGCAGCCGCAACAGCAGCAGCAGCAGCAGCTTCAGGACCTCTCAGCTACGCAGCGCTAAGAAGACTCCCTCTTGAGCAGCAGGTCTACTTAAACCCTAAACCCTAAACCCTAAACCCTAAACCCTAAAGCGTCTAGATGCAGCTGTTACTGTTGTATCTGTCTTGCTGCTGTTGGTTGTTTACTGGAGGCATATCCCTTACGGATTAGGGTTTAGGGTTTAATGCTTCTGATCTAGGGTTTAGGGTTTAGGGTTTAGGGCTTCAGGGTTTCCGCCGTTGACCATCCACGGTTAAAACGTTCTAGCGTTGAGGGTTTAGGGTTTAGGGTCTAGAGGATTTACAGGGTTTATAGGGTATACAGGGTATACAGGGTATACAGGGTATACAGGGTTTAGGGTTTAGGGTTTAGGGTTTAGGGTTTGTTGTTTGTTGCAGGTGTTGAAGATAATGGGTCATTTGCATCTGGCTTCTCACACGACAGTGAAGAGGCTTGTTGCTGCTGCAGCAGAGGAGCAGCAGCTGCTGCAGCTGCTGCTGCGTCATTGTTATTTGCTGCAGGGCAACTGGTGTATTAAGAGCTCTCTTGTCTGCAGCAGCAGCTACGAAACAACCTGCAGAGATTTGCTGCTGTGTCTCCTCGCTAGAGACGCGCAGCAGCAGCAGCAGCAGCAGCAGCAACAGCAACTGCAGCAGCAGCAGCAGCAAGCAGGCCGCTCAGGAATCTCAAAGGAAGCATTCAGAGCAGCAACGAGGCTACCCCCAGAAACTGCAGACAAGCTACTTAACCAAGTCAGGGTTTAGGGTTTGTGGTTTAGGGTTTAGGGTTTAGTATGATGTGTAGTTTATCCTTATTGATTTATTATTTGTTTTTTACTGCAGCCGATACATGATTCGTTTGCATGTACACTTTCTTGTTAAGGGTTTGTGGTTTAGGGTTTGTGGTTTAGGGTTTAGGGTTTAGGGTTTAGGGTTTAGGGTTTAGGGTTTGTGTGGGGTGTGAAGGTGGCGGTGTGCGAGTCTTCTGCTTGGAGGTTGAAGCTGCCTGCTGATGCAGCATTTGCTGCTGCACATCCGAAGCTTGCTGCTTTTTTTGCTTCCTTCTGGGTTTCTAAGTTAAGAGAGGCTGTACAACAAATTAAAACACAAAGAGAGAGTCTTGATGCTGCAGGTTAGACAACCAACCTGCTCCTGCTGCTGCTGCTGCTGCTGCTGCTGTTTATGCTGCTGTTTATGCTGCTGTCTATGCTGCAGTCTATGCTGCTGTTCGTGCTGCTGTTCATGCTGCTGCTGCTTTGCTGCTGTTTACGCTGCTGTTTATGCTGCTGCTGTTTATGCTGCTGTTGGTAATGCCGGCGTTCCTTCCGTCGCTGCTGCTGCTGCTGCTGCTGCTGCTGCTGCTGCTGCTGCTGCTTGCTGGTAACTAGAGCAGCTAGACGTTTTGAATATGTTTGTCTATCTTGTGTGTTTGTCTTCTGTGATGAAAGCTCTAAACCCTAAACCCTAAACCCTAAACCCTACCTTGAATGAGAATCCGTTGGTGCGCTGCTGTCATTTAAAAAATTATATATCGGCGTCTTTTGCATGCATATTTACTTATTTCATTTCCTTGCTGCTCTTCCTGCTGCTGCTGCTGCTGCTGTTGCTGCTGCTGCTGCTGCTTGTGCTGCAGCATCTTCATCTTCTGCAGCACTGTCTCCGGTTGAGCTGCAGCAGCGCACGAGGGAGGTGAAGCAGCTGCTGTCGGAGTTCGGTGGTTTATCTTTAGCAGAGATTAAATTAAAGTTGAGCAGCAGCGCTGCTCTCTTGTCAGACGAAGATGTGCAGCGACTGCTCAGTGAGGTTGCGCTCCCAGTCAAGTAAGGGTTTATTAGGGTTTTGTATTAGGGTTTATTAGGGTTTATTAGGGTTTGTTGAGGTTTATTAGGGGTTTTGAGGGCTTATTAGGGTTTTGTATTAGGGTTTATTAGGACTTTGTATTAGGGTTTTGTATTAGGGTTTATTAGGGTTTGTTGATGTTTATTAGGAGTTTTGAGGGTTTATTAGGGTTTATTAGGGTTTGCTAGGGTTTATTAGGGTGTATTAGGGTTTATTAGTGTTTATTCGCAATTATTAAAGTTTAATAGGGCATATGACAGTTTATTAGGATTTAGGGTTTATTGCTTAGGATTTAGGGTTTAGGGTTTAGGGTTTAGGGTTTAGGGTTTAGGGTTTAGGGTTTAGGGTTTGCGTGTGGTGTCAGTGGCATTTGGGTGTTGAATTCGCTGGGCAACGAACAAATTGACGAAGTTCGCGCGTCGTTGGTGAAGGTCTTCAGCCGAAGTAATCCCCCTAATACAAAGCCCCTTATTATTCAGGTCTAAACCCTAAACCCTAAACCCTAAACCCTAAACCCTAAGCCCTAAACCCTAAACCCTAATTTGTAAACCCTAAACCCTTATTTATAACACCCAAGTAATCTTCCCCAAAAAGAAACTCTAAAAAATAAACCCTAAACCCTAAACCCTAAACCCTAATATATAAAAAGCTGTGCAATGAAACGTAGAAAATAAACTCTAAACCCTAAACCCTAAACCTTGATATATAAACACTAAACCCTAAATAATAGACGCTAAACCCTAAGCAATAAACCCTAAACCCTAGGGCCGTAAGCCCTAAACCCTGAATACTAAACCTTAAACCCTAATCGTCGAACTATGAATTAAAAACCCTAAACCCTAAACCCTAAACCCCTAAACCGTACATATATATATATATACGCAAAACATTTTATTTATGTATTGTTTTTGTGTTTCTTTAATTTATTTTATGTTAGGCTGTAGAAGAAGATTTAAACAAGAAGGTCTCTCTCCCCGACTTCACCCTCAGAAAGCTGTTGAGGTAGGGTTTAGGGTTTAGGGTTTAGGGTTTAGGGTTTTCGGGCTTTGAAGTCTAAGGGAATAAACGCCTAGGGTTTAGGGGTTTGGAGGTTTAAGGGTTAAAGGTTTTGGGGGTGTATGCTCTTAATCTGTGGGTCTGAAGGTTTAGGGCCTAGGGTTTAGGGTTTAGGGTTTAGGGTTTAGGGTTTAGGGTTTGTCGCTTGTTATGCAGAGAGTTTGCACGAAACGAAAATGGTCTTTGGGTGTTTAAAGGCAACAAAAACACTCAAGAGAAAAGCGATGTAATGCAGCTCATAGAAGAAGAAGCAACAAAGGTTTAGGGTTTAGGGTTTAGGGTTTAGGGTTTAGGATAAAGCGGGGATGCTAACACACTCCAGACGGGCCCCGGGTTTAAATAAAATTATTTCAACTTCCCTGGGCCTTCTCAGCTGCTGCTGCTGCTGCAGCAACTGGTGCTGCAGCAACTGCTGCTGCAGCAACTGCTCCCGCAGCAACTGCTTCTGCAGCAGCTGCTGCTGCAGCAACTGCTGCTGCAGTTGCTGCTGCTGCAGCAAATCATTGGGCGTTTGCTGCGGATCTGTTTTTGCTTAACGCTGGGATTTTTGTTTGTTTTATTTAATTTGTTTTATTTAATTTGTTTAATTTGTTTATTTAATTTATTTAATTTGTTTTATTTTGTTTTTTATTTGTTTCTTACTTGTCTCTTCTTTTATTTTTTTATGTTATATATTTTACTCGTTTTGTTTGCTTTAAATACACTTTTTATATTTATTTAGTAGTTCTCCTGCTGCTGTTGCTGCTGCTGCTGCTGCTATTGTTGCTGCTGCTGCTGCTGCAGGCGGCCTAAACCCTAACCCCTAAACCCTAAACCCTAAGCTGTAGACTATTTATAATGATCGATATTGTTTGCTGCACATACACCGCAGATGAATAACTGTCTCCTTTTGTCTCTTTAAAAACAAACACATTCACTCTATTAATTTTAATAAATAAACATAAATATAAATATATATTTGCATATAATAGTATATATATATAACACTAAACCCTAAACCCTAAACCCTAAAATATACAAATACATATATATATACATATATATATGCGAGATTAGAGATAAGCACAAACAAAGAAAGAGACAGAAACAATAATAGTGTAAAATAATAACAACCAAACAAACAAACAAAATATAAAAAACACACGAATAAACAAAACGCAAATAAAACAAATAAAACAAATAAAAGATAAAAAATAAAATAAAATAAATAAATAAATAAATAAATAGTTAAGGAGATAAACAAACGCACAGAGAGACGAATTAATGAAGAGACAGACAAACGCAGCGACAAACAGAAAAAGAGAGATAATTATATATATAATATATATGTATATATATAATATATACATATATAATATATAATACATATAATATATATATTTGTTTATATATATATATATATATATATCTGCATATGCATGTACGCATGTGCGTATACACAGATACGTATAATTATGCGTATGCATCTATTTACCTACAACTATATATATATATATATATAATTATATATATATACATATAATATATATAATTATATATATATATAATTA